TCAAAGAAATAACCAGGAAAGCTGAATGGCTTTATGGAATCCTATTAAGCCATGTCCAAGAGCTAGATTTACAAATATGGAACCCAAGCCAAATGATGAGTCGTTTATCAGATTTAATTATGAGCCTGTACATTCTATATTAAAGAAATAAGGAAACCATAAACATAAAGAAAAGGATTCTCTGCTTCCTTGAGGAGATAAACAGGCATCCTGAGGCACCAATTGGATCTTGCCTCTTTATTTAGATGGTTTTTAAATTCAAGGTAAAAATCAGGGTCAAGGAAACATCTGAGGAAAGGGATATGGAACAAAAAGTTGTTCTGTGTTTTGGATAGATAGTAATTAAATCAATAGAGTTCATCAATAGGCATCAATATGGTATCCTCCCTCCACCAGCGTTGCAGAATTTGGCAAAGGGATCCCAGTCAAAGTAGATTTCTACATAATTTATCTCAACTCCTCCTTTTATAGACGAAGCTCTCAGAGGGTAAGTGACCTGTCCTGGGTCACCCAGAAGAGTCGGTGGCAGAAAACCCTTGGATACTGTCACTCAGCAAAGCTATGGACAAAAAAGCAGATACAAGGACATCTATTTTGCAGATAAGACAGACCCGAGAAGGTTGGGCCTGGGGCTGGGCCTGGGTTTGAAGGGCATCCCAATCAGTCCTCTGGTTGAACTGATGGGGAAACCAGCTCTCAAGACTTGTGAACACCTTGGTCAGCGTCACCATCCACATCTCATCAGGCTAGCTACCTCACAGTTAGTGCTAATCTTGACATCAGAATGGAAGCACCTTAGAGGTTTTAAAAAATGTAACACAAAGCATCCCCATCTTTATCAAGCTGCTTCAGGGTTTACTAAATTTGTGCCCTTCTTTAGAGCTCTCAAAGTAGGGACCCCTCCCACTTCTCAGCTAAAATCTTTCCCTATGTTTATGTTAAATGGCTCTATCTTTTGGATCACTGCAACCAAAAGCAGCAACACTCTCTAAGGTTCAGAAACACAAAGGCATTATTTTAAAAATATTTCACCCATATATTGTTCCATCACTTGCTCTAATTCATAATTGAAAAGAGTTAAGATTAGATGCCCCAATTCCCTACTTCACCAATCACTAGGTGTAGAGCCAAGAATCATGGGCAGGAATTAGAAGAGGTCTTCAATGTCAGTAGTTCAACTTGTGGCTGCCGGAATTTCGGTAGTGACCAGAAGGCCGACCTGGGTCTCACACCTCCGTTTCATTTTTAATTGGGTGAAAATGACTCCTTTCGCAGATCTTAAATTGGCCTTCTTGCAGCTTCCTCTGCCTGGTAGACTCTTTCATAAGCTCTCTTTTCTATGATCAGAAAGCATTGCTGCAGCAATCTTTTGTGCTAAATCCAAAACAATAAAATAAAGTGTGATGACTGTAATAGTCAAATCTGTGTAAACATATTTAAAGTGCTCGTCTTTATTTACATAGCATAGGAGAACAGTTGACTAGATTTGCAGCTAATTTGAAAGGTGTGTGGATTTGTCTGCCTTAAGATACAGGCGAGGTGCTCTATGTAAGACGTATGTCGTTTTGATGAGAAAGCCAGGTGTCATTGAGCAGATTCTGACTCTGGCACCTTATATGTGTCAGAGAAGAACATAGGGTGCTTTTTGGGATTTTTCAATGGCTGACTATTATTCATTTTTGTGTTTCATTCTTCTTTTTCTAAAAAAGCCCCTCCTTTCTATTGTGAATTGGGTGAAGGTCTACAAAGCAGACAGATCACATGCCTTAGCATTCAATCAATCATTCATACACATTTCATTTCATGTCATGGATTGTAATCCCCTCAAAATAATATGCTTCCCACTCCCCCCCGTTTTCTGGTTTCATTTCTACTTTTCTTTCCTAACCCTTTGGACTCTGTCCTTAGATTTTGATCTCCAATGGTTGATTATGAAAAAGTTTATCTCCATTGTGTTCTTGTTCCCCTTTAGACTCATCTACTGTCGGGCTGCAAATGGAGCCATGAAGACTCAGGGGTTCATTTGCGGACCTGAAAGGGTTGCAAGCTTCTTGTCAGGGGTTCCACCACTCCCTACCAGACCAGTAAATATTTTATTTTATTATTATTTTGATCCCCATTCCCCCCACCCCCCTACATTTTTCTCCCACTCTATCCAGAGCCTGCTAAAGCAACTGGTTATGATAGACAACTGGTTATGGTAGTCAGGCTCCATCTGGTTTTCCCATGGTCCATTAGTCCACTGAACGAATAATTTCCATTCATCTCTGATTTTCTTTATTCTTCTCTCCTTTGGACAGGGAAAGATCAATAGTTGCACTTTAGCGTTTAAGACCCCATTTGCTACTCACCGAAGTAGAAATGAGAACACTGTCATTGTGGATTACCTAATGCCAATTAACCTTGTGGTCCCCCAAGTCCATTGTCCTAAGCCTTCATGCTCAGCAACTCATTCCTTTCAGTATCTGCTCAGATCTAAGAGGTTTTCATAACTTTGACTCCTGTATGCTCCACTACAGTCATGCCTATATTTGCAGGAGAGGTAAATACACATTTAGAAATATCCCGTCAAGCTATGTATTTATTTTGTGGGTTTCCTTATTCCCACTTTCCTTTCCATACCTGTTCAGCCTGTAAGTTTAGCCACACCTCCGCTCATAGTCGCCATCTCCGCAGGATGTGTATGGCAGGCCATTTACCTCTGTTTCCTTCAACTGCCACCCTCTTCCCTGCCTTCTTCATGGCTTGCTACCCTGCCTCTTACATACTGCCTTCTCCTTCAACCTAGTTAACATAGGAATTCCTTACGAGAAGATCCTGAGGCTTTTCATCTGAGGGGCCTCTGAGTGGTCTGGAACCTTTACCCTTTGAGTTAGCAATCACGTGAGTCCTTGGGTGGTGCGGGCAGATCATCTGCTCAGCTACTGACCAAAAAGTCGGGGACTGAATCTACCCAGAGGCACTCGGAAGACAGGCGCAGCAATCTACTTCCAAAGATACCATCTGTTGAAAACCCTCTGGCATATAACCCCCTCCCAGGGGGATGGACAATGGAAAAGTGGGTGAAGGGAGACATTGGTCAGCGTAAGACATGAAATAATAATAATTTATAAATTCTCAAGGGAGAAAGAGGGAAGGTAGGGGAGGGAGGGGGGGAAATGAGGAGCTGATACCAAGGGCTCAAGTAGAAAGCAAATGTTTTGAGAATGATGATGGCAACAAATGTACACGTGCTTGACACAATAGATGGATGGATTGTGATAAGAGTTGTATGAGCCACCAAGAAAATGATATAAAACAAAAGAAAGCAAGAAAACCCTGTGGCGCAAAGCTCTACCTAACGCACGAGCCACCTGGAGTCAGAGTAGGCTCAGCAGCATTTGGTGTGTTGGAGGAGAGCACCCCTGAAGGAAAGCAGGCCACGTCTCCGGCAACTAAACCGAGGGACAAGAGGCCTGGGCCACTGCTGGCTCAGAAATATTGGCCTTAACCACTAAGAAGTCACATCCAGCAGACAGGTTTCAAATGGGAGTAGAGGCTGAAAATCACAAGGACAAATATTATTCCAAATTGCAGAAACTGACCTGTAATCAAGTTTTTCTGAAATTGCTCAGTACATGGACAGTGCTGGGTAGCATACTTCAGGGGGAGTGGCAACCAGGATTATTATTATTTGTAATGACGCTTAATGATTTTCCCCAGGGCCAGCGAGTAAGCATGTAGTTGGAAATGTTGCCTAGACTGTAGAACATTATAGTATGTGCAGCTGCATCGTCATTTTAGTTTGAGCTCTCACCGTGCTTGCTATGAGCTAGTGGCTGAGGCGATGTGCTAGACATTTTTAAGGCATCATATAAATGAGTTATATATTTTAAAATCCTGTATGCCGAAAGCTTCATTTTATAAAGATTTACCTGGCTCCAGGTATGTTAAAAACATGATATTACACTAAAATTGTAAGAATTTATGCTTCATATATAAGGTGGAAAAAGTGCTAGGCAAGAAAATGCCCGAAGTGAACATACAGGAAGAGCAACAGGGGGTTATAGATGACTAAAGAGCATCTATTTAACGTGGATGCCAGTGAGCTGGTGGCTACATACCCCAGTGGGGAAGGGGGTGAGGTGGACACAGTTGCATTTCTGGGCAAGTGGAAGCATATTCTATCCAGCAATGAGCTGGGAGAACTGCATGACCTTGAAGGGACTTCCTCTCCCAAATTATGAGTTGGTGTTGAACAATGGCAGAGTCATCCAAAAAGAGGAAGACCCTCAGCACGATGGACCGGCACAAGACGGGGCAGTGTTTCCTTCCGTGTACATAGGGTTGAAGTGGGACCTGATGGACCTAACAAGGGGATAATTGATAAAAAGCATACAGAAGAGTCTTCCAAGAAACTGGACCATGGGCGGAGTCTGGAGCCAGGCTTCTTGGTTAAAATCCTGTTCTACCACTAGCTGACGGATCTCAGGCATGTACTAAATGTATCTGTACCGCCTTTTTTCCTCACCCCCCACGGATGGCCATTCTAAGGGAACATGAATGGATGAGGGTGATGCTCCTAGAACAGTGCCTGGCTTATGTTATATATATAATAGCATATGTTCAATATCATCGTTCTCTTCATGGTACCTCCTGATTACTGGGGCCAGTTACTAGGAAAAGGACCTGTGAAAGGACACACTTAAAACTGTCTTTCGTATTATATTTAGGTTTCAGTTTTATGCTTATAGTTTGATTTATTCTATTTCACTTAGAAAACAAAAACAAAAGGTAAGAAGTTCTACCTTCTTTTGCCGAGAACCCATGAAAGGATCCATTCCATAACTTTGTGTTCCATGAGACAGCAATAGAAACAGCACCTTTGGGTGCTGTTCACATAAAACTTCCCCCCAGCCATACCCCCCAGCCTCCTGCTGCTGGAACCTAAGAACCTAACCACCACCACCACCTCCAGGGCCTTTCTTCCTCTTGCCACCCGTGCCCACGGACATGCCAACCTTCGATGAAGTCCGAGGCTGTGTAAGTACGCTGGATGGGGCTGCTCTCCGCGGGGTTGTTCAGGGTCTCTAAGGCGGATTCGATGGCTTCCACCAACTCATCGCGCTTGTCCTTCCTCACCGGCTTCTCCTCGGGGTGGCGAGTCAGGCCCGTCTCCAGCTGGTAGACCTTCTGCAGGGTGAAGCTATCGAAGGGCACTGCTGCGTACTCCGTGGCCAGCTTGACGCCGGCGTGCACCTCGGCCTTGTCCACCTGCGAGCGCAGGAAGGCCAGCAGGTCGGCCGGGGCGGTCTCGGGCGCGGCCCGCGGCGCAGGGTCGCGCGCGTGGTCCCGCACGGTCCGGAGCTGCTCGCTGCGCTCCTGGAGCGCGTCCTTGAGCTGCGCGATCTGCGTCTTCAGGCTGCTGATGTAGTTGCGGTGCTGCTCCTCCCACTCCTGCAGGACGGCCTGGTAGCCCTCCTTCCCCGTGGGGCCGTTGGCCCGGGGCAGCCCCAGCTTCTCCTCGTCGCCCTTCGGCGTGCACGCCAACATGTAGAGCAGGGAAATGGCACAGCACAGCAGCACAAGCAAAACCACCAGCCGAGAAATCCAGGCCAGCAGCCCTCGGCGAACCATCATCATTCAGGAATCCGCCATGCGTCCAGGCCTGGCGACATCCCAGAATGCCAGGGCCCCTCGCAAGGGCTCTTGCGGACTAGATCCCAGAAAGCACGCACTCAGGACGCCCAACGCTCCTTCCAGTCATTGCCTCGACAGTCCCCCTGTCCCGTGGAGCCAATCACCGCCCGGCGCGGCTGTCCCTCTTGGCAAAGCAGAGGCAGTGGGTCTCCTCATTAATTCCCATCCTAGCCTTCCCGATGGGCCGTGGACAGCAGGAGGGGCCCTGAGAGGAGACACAAAAGATCAAAACCAGTTATTCAACATGAGCTCATGACAGCAGCATCCATAGCTTTCCCACCAGGTCTCTGTGCAGTGTTCATGTGTTCAACGTTTTCACGTGTTTGCAAATCACAATGCAAACACATGCGTCTCCAACGTGATGCAAATAAAGAACAAAGGACATCGAGAAAAGTGCAGCAGGCGATGCAGTCAGTTACGTTCAGTGGACTCCCTGCTAACACTGCATTTTAGCAGCCACCTGTGACCTCAGCCGTGACACGGACACACACACACACACACACCCCCAACATCCTCAGGTTGGCACATGTCTGTGAATGACCGACCACAAATGCGTGTCCGATGCAGCTTTTAATGATTGTGCTACCCTGCAAAGATGGAGCCCAGGGTGGTTGCGGGCCACTGCGTGCCAAAATGTTAACAAGACTTCTCTGGGTGATTTCTCTGCATCTCTGTATTTTTCTGTATCGTGTAAATGTTCCACCAGGAACATACATTATTTTGATGACTGAAAAAGGAAGGAAACAGACTTGACAGTTGTAAGCAGAAGAGAACACAGGCACTGCATGCC